TTAATAGACACTTTGATTATTCAACGTTGTCGTGATAAACACATGTTGTCGAAAAAAAAAAGTAATTTATTCGTACGACGTGGGATAATAAAATTGCTTAAAATTGGTTTAACATGCAATTATAAACCTCGTTCGAATAATAATATTTAAACAAAATGTGGCTTATTAAAAATTATCTTTTACGCAATTATACTTTTTAATTTTCTAGTATCTTACCCGATTCGCTCCATCTCAAATATACCGAACGATATAATCTCGTTAATATGCAAATGTAAGAAAAAACGTATAAAAAGTTTATTATAGTCTGCAGAAAAAGTGGAATGCTTCTTAATTCCTTAAAAGTTTATTGTACAATAATTTTCAAAGTACACTTAAAAACTCGATTCGATCTATTCGATGACAATGAAATAACATCATTTCCCGCGGCCTGGTTTATCATGCGCGAACCGAGATATTTAATTTGGAAACTCCAGAAGCTTTGCACACAACGCACACAGACAAGGCGAAAGAGAGAAAGAGAGAACTTTTACGAGAGCTCGTTGCAGGATTTACCTCGTTATCGCTTTCGGATTGATAAATCCCTCAATTCCGTTCGTTCGTTTCCATAACTTTATAAATAGCATTTTCGCGAGCTCTATCGAGCACAGAACAATCTTGGGCGCGATGTGTGCGCTGCAGTAAATTTTCCCTCGCGTGACAAATGAATCAAGTATAATAAACAGCGCATTCGCGATTTCCCGCGTATTTATACACGGGATCATTATTTCGCAGGGGATATCGGACGTCATATCTCTCTTTTTATTTCAACGAATGTTTTTCATATAATAATAATTACTCGAGTGCGCCGAGTTTGTCACCAGTGACATAGCATATTAATGAGGGAGTGCATTTGCGAAAAAATTTATATTAAAAATTGCACGTCAAGCGCGTACTTTACATCAATCTAATTTTGTTTTTCTATCTCACTGGACGTCCAGATATAGTTTTCACGAAGACTTTCATTATTCCGATTAGTAATTCCGATAATGCGCGCGTGTTACATGCTTTATCGTTTTTTAGAAGTAATACCTTTCCCGTGAAGGCCACACGTATTTTTTTTTTTTTTATTTGCAGCGACCCCTCGAAAATATAGAAGAGACTTTTTAATATTCTCGATAAAAATATTTCACGCGCTGGAGGAATAATAGTACCCCTGAGAAAATCAAACGGGATATCGACAATCCTCCGAAATATCCGCGGCGTGAATAATAAATCGCTTCCTTAGCGTTGGAATTGCACATACAATTGCGCATGTATGGGTAGATACCCCGAGAGACTTTCACATTACTTCTTTCGTCAAATGCGAGTGAATTTCTCGCTGTCAGAATTGCGAACGAGCGAAGGAATCCATGTCAGTCGTTAAAGATCGGTAATTTGTAGAGAATACGTGCCAACTCTATACGTGCCCGCTTTTCCGTTCTCCCAACTGCAATTTAAAATAAGGATGACGCAGTGATGTAATATCGGCCCTATATTTAGGATCATTGTTTTTCCTCCTTTCCGTTTTTCTCAAAAAATGACATATCATTTGAGATTTATCATAATATTTGAGATCGCATTATTTTAAATCGAATTACACTCGATAGAGGATTTTGCAGCATAAACAATACACGTTGTTTAAAAAAAATAATTTTAATAGTCTTTATATATATGTATCTCTCTTTTTAATTTTAATCCAAACTACCAAAAATTTATTTAGAGAGACAGCTTTATTCTCTTTATCTCCTTCTCTCTGGCTCATTCGCGTTTTCTGTACAACACCTGTATCTGGAAGCTTTGTAACGTTATATTCGAAAGTGACCCGACATTCTGTTTGATCTAATGAAACTTCATTCGAGGCTCGGTACCGAAGCGACAGTGCGTGCGGTTCCTGTGTCAAACGAAGCTCCGATCCTATCATTTGAACGCGCATTTGGCATTGACATGAAAGGAAGCCATCTTGTTAACCGTAGCAATAGATAAAACTTAAGTTAATATTCTGTTACCGTGATACCTAAAAGGCCATCATTAACGAAATACCATATCTGCATTCATTATGTAATAAATGCAGCGAAATTATATCGAGTATAAAAAATTTACGCTTTCATTACATTTATCAAAATGTCTGGCGTAAAAAAATCTGCGAGAAATTATATTCGGCATAAAATGCCGTGAAAGCGTCAAATTTTCACGAAATTATTATATTTTTTAACCAGTTCTTTTAAATATATTTATTTAAATACTTTAATCCGATGTAAATAATTATTTCATTACTGTTTCAAATATTACTCCAAATTTGCCACGAAATAATTTTATTATCCCTCGATGCACGAGCGCGAAGACTTGATAACACGAATAATATCGCAATTGACAATATAATTGCACAAAATTCGGCCTCGCTTCAGCGAAAAGTACGTGCTCTTTACATTACAGTTGTCAATTATAGCGAGTAGAGATGAAAAGCGATAAAGAGAAGAGAAGAATTGGCGGTGAGTGTTCATTTGTGGTTGAGGACCCCAATTACCTCGGGTAACACCCGAAAGGGTTAAACGTGCAAAATATTGGAAGAGTGCGCTCGGGACACACGAAACCGAGTATTGAAGCCAAACGATTGTTAAGACAACACAATAGTCTGTATGCACGTTCGGTTTTCTTTTTTTTTTTCTGTTTGTTTTTTTAAATCTCGTTTAAACTTGCCTGTTGCACTATCGTAAACTACACCAATATACGGCGCTTTCTCCTACTACAATGTCGGAATTAGGACGACTATACATAACGGGCGAGTCACGATAACTGACCGAGCAACCGGTAATCTCGTCCCGCTAATCAAATCAATCGCATGAAATTCCGAGGCCCCGCTACATCTTAAATTAAACGTCTGCTCTTACAACCAATTAGCGTAATACGAGCTGACCTAAAATTTGTTCGTAGCTTAATACTTCGCCACCAATCTCGGAGCGCAAAAAATGGTTCCGCTAATGATTTTTAGGTCGATAATTTCAAAATAAAGGACTCCTCCCCTCGCGTTATCCGATATTCGCGCAGAAACGGCGCAATAATATATTCCAACAATATGCAAGCCTCCGCGATCGTTATTTTACAACGTCATCCTGGCGCGCGTAATAAAAAACTATAAAGCGATATGAGGTTAAGGACATTCATCGTAAAAACCTAGTGTTCATGTTTGACCGCGGTCTTAGCGGCTATTCGAGCTAAGGGAGCTGTGGTTGGGTTACTCTTTTTTTTTCTCGTATTTTACATCGTCACGACACAGAGAGATATTAAGTGAAAAGGGGTCTCCTAGACGAGGATCCCTCCGAAACTTTTATCTTTGAAACATGGTCCACTCTCGTGGCGAGGAAGAAACTTTTTTCGCGATCATAAATATTCATAGGGGGACAAAGAGTTAACACGGGAAGGAAACGCGAGCCGCGCTGTCCTTCCTTTTTAACCAAAGGAAAGATTAAAATTTTCCACGCGATGTATTTCCGCGCCGCGTGCTTATGCGAAATTGATATGCGAAACTTCGTATGACCTTCGTGGGGAAAGGGATTTGTATAAATAGTCTGTAGATCATTTATCTCGAAAATAATAGCGGTGCACGTGAGAACGGTTCTCTCTCATAAATGCAAGCTACATATGTACGTGTACGCAACTGCGTTATTAGAAGCTTTTGAATAATGAAGTGAAATTTATGAGCGATTCGCGCGCGATACAGCGCATTCTAACTTAAATCCCTCGCATAGCACTTAAACACACGATGATCATGCCATATCTTATCAAAGTGATGCGCGTAATGCAGTAATGGTCTAGAAAACATTCATTAAGGATAGTATCCGAGGTAGATAAAGCAGACGTATATACTTGATAAATGAATAGATTAAGATCGTATAAAACCTGTGTTCGTCCAACAACACATGGTATAATTTGTAATATAGACCGAAAGGTCAAATGTTACGCGAGATATAGTCAAACAGATGTCTCTTTGTGAATCGATATCGCGAAAGGTAGTCGACAATGTAAAACTATATTGTCGATAAAATATCGCAATAGAAACTTCAAATCTCATATTTTACGATTTAAATTTCGTGGATTAAAAGACAATTACAATTCATATTGGAGATGAGAATATTGCCAGTAGAACTCAGCGGTGACATATTTCAAATGCAGATTGTTCAGATTTAATCATTTAACTAATATTTCGCTTATAGGTAAAATATTATTTGAAAATGCATTTTCCGCGAGGACAATAGCGTATATATAAATATTTATGTGTAACGAAATAATTAATATTATTAATTGAAATAATAAAAATTAATAATTATTAAAATAATTTAAAATTTATAAACTTGAATTAATCATTTCGTGCAATAAAAAAAGTAATTAGAAAATGATATAATAAATACGTGCGTCACGAGTGAAAGAAAGCTGAAGAAAGGAAAAAAAGAGAAACAGAGAAAAAAGGAAATGGCAAGCAACTGGAAGCAGATAGTGATATTTAAGCTAGTTTCTTACGATAAATATTACAAAGGAGCTGAGCTATCTTTTTGCTTCGATGTCTTTCTGCCACGCTACACGATTTTTCTCACGCAATGGAGTTTATTAATAACACGATGAATTTGTTACCATTCCGTTACAAAACTAAATCTATTTTTATCCAAGTGTTTTATCATTTCCTCTATTTTTATTTTTAGCTATCTGTACAATAAATAATTCATTGCTTCAAATAGTTACTCAGAAAAATATCCCGATGAAAAATTATTTTAATATCGTCATCTTTCTTTCACAAAATAAAATAACTTTTTTAAAAATATAAAAAACATATCAAGTACAAAAAGTTCATAAAGAGACTAGCTAAATTTGTATACATCAAATGAAAGTTTAAATAACAAAAATTTTAAATACTTGTATGTACTTGACGTTTTTTATACTTTTTATAAAATTACTTTTTATACTTTTTATAAAATTTCCTCTCAACTCACAAATGATCGATGCGCAAACGGTGGAGTTGACGGCTACGTTGATCTGTAACATGCAAATAAAAAATCCAAATTGTAGTAGCGTCAAAAATAATTAATTGTTGTCAATTTTAATTATTGTACGTATTATATTTTATATTCGATGGGTACAATAATAAACAAATATTTTATGGACTAGTTTCATAAATGCTAAAAAATCCTACTTCTTTTTAAGTAGAAACTTTTACAGAATTATAGCTTTTACATAAAAAGTTTTTTTCTCCAATTCTCTTTTTTTTTATTATCAAAATAAACAAATCAAATACGAAATAAACAAATCAAAATTACGCGATTAATCATGTAATTCAAGTTTTGCGGATACGCGAATAATATACAACTAGTATATAAATTTATTATTACTCACTCATTTATTATTACTCACAGTAATTTATTATTACTCACCCCAACATTGCTCCGTCGATGCCCGATGTCTCTCCTAGGGTTGATCCTTAGGGTCTCCTTCAAGATCGTTCAAGTCACACGCGCGATACTTTGGTCGACACTCCCGAACTCGAACAAGTCTTTGCACGACATTTTCGATATAAAAATTAAGACATAACACAAAAGCGGATTTGCGATACTTTACGGTATTTCCGAATCCCGATTAAAACGCGAAAAACGATATCAATTGGAAACCGTTTGGGTACTTAGCTTCCCCTTCAGGAGAAACCTTCCAGGTACTGAGCCCTCCCACCACGTCAAGGTGTACCCAATGGGAGGGTTTTATCGGCGATAAAAATGTAATATGAATATGCTCCCAAAATGAGAAAAATCAAACGTCTATTAATTCGTCTCGTCACTATTAAAAATATCCTCTTAATTATAAAATAAATTATATCTAAGTTATATCTATTCAATTTATAATATTATATATATATATATATATATATATATATATATATAATGAAATTATAACAAGATATCAATGCCTTATTTGATATATTTGCAATATATTACAAATTTAATTATTAATAATTATTAATTATTAATAAATGATTGATACAATTAATAAACAATCGATGATGCATTATTTGGATCTCTAAATTGATTGTTCCAGTCTTCTATTTATAAATAATAAGCAGAATATAATTATATACATATTAATATTATTATACACAAGAGCTAATGTTACATTATAGTTATACGCAGTATGCATTTATATGCAGTATTTATAGACATACTATATTATGTATTAGTAATTCAAATGACTTTTTGACAATTAAATTACTAAACAGTTAAAAATCTCTAAATCTCTATTAGTTACAATATAATTATATCATCTTTATATAGTATATATTACAATTTAAATAGAGAACGCGTTCTTTGAGCCTTTTATATTTTAATATATTTTTTACATATTATTTACATTTTAATTTTTTATTATAAAAACAAATATTGCAATATAGACATGTAATCATAATTACCACTAAACTGATAATAGTAATCCGGCTTTTAGATAACATAAAAAATATATCATTCGAATAATAAGTAATAGTAACATTGATTATAGTTATAATTGACTGTAACGTTGTAATATTGATCCCTTGACAGGAGCAACATCGTTTCAAACTTCAGAGCTAAAGTGTTCTAACATAAATCGACATGGCGAATATCGTGCAGAGGCTTGCTATACACTTGTTATGTGCGCAATATGCATAATGGTGCATCGAGTAATGGCACGTGGTATGCCATTCCACGGGGATGGGGATGGGGGATAGTTCGATGATGTGCACAGGGCGTTGTCATTTAGAACACGAGGGAGACAATCGACAAAGGGGTGAGGTAAGATAGTTGCCAAATATTGCTTCGAGACAAACATACCGAATTAAACATTCAGACAATTTGTCTCTATCGCAATATTAGCGCATACAATACATTTCTTTCTGAATTAAAGTCAAGCTAAAATTACAAGATTATATTTAATGTAGAACATTTTCCGTCCTAGGTTAGATAAACGCGAAAGCATTTCTGTATATTGCAGATAATACTTTTTCCAAGTGGAAAATTCACTTTTTAGGAGACATCCATAAAAATTTATTATCATAGATTTTTCAAATACAAAAATATTAATAAATTTATATAATATAATACTAATTAACTAAAATTAGTAATTAATCTAAATTTAATATGATATCAAAATGTGAGCAAAAATTATCAAACATTTTAGAATCGAAATAAAATGAAAATTGATTGGAAAACTATTAATTTGTTATAATATATACTATAAATACGTGAGAGATAGATAGATAGATAGAGAAAGAGAGAGAGGGAGAGAGGAATGGAAGGAGAGAAAAAGAAAGTCGCAGGAATAATCTATAGGTCATCTGACAGATTTTGCAATTTTGGTCAGCTGTTCTCCTAAAAAGTGAATTTTCCACTTGGAAAATTATCTGCAATATACAGAAATGCTTTCGCGTTTATGCATGTATATCTGCATTTAAATTTTCATTCTATCCCGAATCGAGTTCGAGCTTCTTTCGTGCGTATTCTTGGCAAGTAAATCCTTTTTGTACTTTGAGAGCGTTTTCACGAAAACTTGACGGGGAGACTTCGAAGCACTCTCTATTTCAACTTCGCATCTATGAAGAGCCTTTACACAAAGCAATGGGACTTTAGAATTGTCAGACAGGATGAACGACGCGACGGTGACGTGAGCAGTTTAAGCGAGATTACGTGCCAACTTGGATGACATTATGCACAGATTACTTTACACAAACAACACGCTTGACTGTATTTTAGAGGACAGTAGTTTCACGCAAGTTAACTGCGCGGCTAATCGTGTTATTCTCGACGAAACCGATAGCCTTTAAACGACATCCCGGTGCCATTAGGAGACACCTATATAAGTATAACTGTATATAGTATACGAATAATATACAGATAATAGTGATTGACTTAACTAGAGGTTCGCTCGACTCGAGAGCGACCGCACCATCTGCGCAAGTGATTTTGCGTTTCATCTCGTGCAGGAGTCGCTCTAGACTAATTGACCGCTTTTAACTCATTAGCTCTTGATTTATATACGTAACGACGAAAATGAAATATCTTGTTGCAAAGAAATTTAGGTTTTATTTAATTAGTATTAAAAATAACTCAAAGATCGTTTTAACATGTGGGAAATCTCGATGTTTTTAATTTGACAACATTCTGAAAGCTGGAATCTCAAGAATGCAAATATTGCGGGACGTTTTCATTATGATGAAAATGGGCAAAATCCAGCGCAATGTTACAGAGAATGTCAGAAATAATTTTACGAAAATTATGCGACAATTCCGGCAAATGAAAGAACTGAATTTTATAAGCAAAAATTGCATTTAAGTTGTCTGTGTGTATTTTTCTCATTTATAATTATACTTTTCTAGATTTTTAAAAATGTAAAAAAAAATTAAAAATGTATTTTTTAAAAATGTATGTGTTATTTTAGCATTATATATATATAAAATATTTACTTTTAATTCTCTCATTTCTGCAAAAATATTTAAAGTTTTGTAATAAGAGAATAGTTTATATATGACTTTCAAGCGAATTTTTTTATTTTCAATTTTCTTATTCACCTTTTTTCATTCTTTGCATAAAATAAGGGAAATATCCATTTCAATTTAAAACATTAAAATACTAATTTAATTTACAATTATATTATTTTTATATTATTATGCAGAGATGGTGTTATTTTTTAAATTACTTTCCTCTGCATTTATGTCAATCATAGAAAATTCGTTATGATATTATGATGAAAAAGAAATGAATTTTGATTGACTAAACTAGGAAGAATTTTAAAGGGATTGAATAGCTCAATGAAAAAATCATGTAAAATAATGCAAAGCTCGATATACATTTAACGCGAAGCGAAAGATCAAAGCGCGATTATCCGTAGCATGCAGATCGCTACGCGAAATAACGCGACGAGTGCGAGACTCCTTTTACTAAAGGAGATTCCCCCGTGTCAACGGAAGCTAAGCCCCTTAGAAAAAAAAACTTGCCGTTGCAATTAAAATTCCAATTCGATTTTCTTGCGCTCTCTAGTATAGACTTTAATAATCGAATCAATTCCGCTTCAACGATCCCCCGAGAGCAGACTCGTCGGGGACAAATTGAAATTCCGATAAAGAGTTACGTTCTCGCGCTAATACTTTTGCTCGCGCAGAGCCAAAGAGAAAAAAAGAGCTAACAAAGAGAAGAAGGAGGAAAATTATACTACTTTCGGAGGCTTAAAAAATCATGAAAGAGATCTGTCCTTGGTCCGTCATGTTCGGTCGGCCATCGATTTGTCGATTTTGCATCGTGCATACAACCAGAATAACATTCCGTGTTAATGAACATCCTCGGTATATCTTTATCAATATGTAATGACACGAATATATATGGTCTCCAACGTTTATTTGCCTTGACGGAAACGTGGCAATTAGCGTGGGTGAGGCACGTGGGCGAATCGTATGTTTCCACGTTCGTGGCCAAATGAAAATTGAGAACTCCCTAAAATTACACTGGACGAAGCAGGCAGAAACAAAATGAAAATGAAATTCCCTCGCGAATTATGTGACACGACGTACACGTGCGAGTTAAACGTCCGACTTCGCTATGCATAATACGTATCAATTGTCGGATCGTGGAGAAGCTGATTGCGTTACCGAAGACAAATACGCGAACGTAATTACGGCGTACGAAGACGACGGCAAGGAGGAAGGCGGTACACATATGTATACCACGGGGAAGGTATTAGCATCAATTCCGAACAGAATGCTGCTAATGGGATGGATAGGTACTTCGTACGGATGTGATAGTGTGATAAAGACGGATACGCGATTTTCATCTCGCATTTGTATCTCAGCGTATACGAAGCGCCCCGGGCATTAAATCCAATTTCTTTCTACCTTTGTACCCTACTTTTCGCTTTTCATAAGAAGGTTAATTGGAACTATAGGCAAAACGCCATCGACACAATTCAATCGATGAGAAAATATTTATTGGAATCGCGAGGAAAAATAATTCTGTCGTTTTAATTATATACAGAGAAAAAAGAAGAAAAGACGTACCGAAAGTCCCGTGGACAGATTGAATAATGAAGGAGTCATAAGCATGAAATAGCGCGCTGATGAGAATTCTCTCATTAACGATGTGCTCCCTGCGCGAGAGATCTTCTGCCGAGTTTAAAACAATGTTAATAAAGTTCGAAATGTTACCGGCGAGTTTATCATAGAGCAAAACACGTTTCTCTTTTTTTTAATAAAAAAGAAAGACCACGACAATCCTTTGCGCGAAACTTTTAGCAACACCCACCATCCTCCCGCACCGTGGCCTAACATTATTTGGATAAGCGTTATTAAATTCTACTTTCCTTCGAAATGAACAAATATAACATAAATAAATGTGAAAAAAGTCAGTCCCGTATCTATTTGCGAAAGCAGCGAAATTATTGCGACGTAGTTGGTGAAATATTAAACAAAGAGAATAAATATAGCAAAATTTTTTTTTTAATTTCCGCTTATCATATATCTAATTTTCGTTTAACTCATCTTATCTCATATTTTTATGTTAATAGATATCTTTACGTCCTTAAAGAGAAGAGCAAGTTCCAGATAATATTAAAACGAAATATAAAAGGGGAAGCACCTTGATGGGAGAAATTAATTTTTTTAAATCTGAATTTGAACTTTTTTTTCTCTCTTTTATAATATTTTAAATTGAAAATATTAGAAAATT